CCACCGGTGGGTTAGTTATGGGTCAGTTCTGACTTGATGGCACACAACAACAGCAACAACATATCCCAATCATGTTATTAGTAGTAAACTGCCTTTTGACAATTTTAAGTTAAAAAAGAAACTGATGTGAAAGAAAATAGTAAGTAAAGCACAGTATCAGCGATATACAGCTAAACGGCAAATGTGGGGATAGCAGTGACCCATTCTAGGTGCTGGTCCCAACATCCACACTCAGAGAAGGGCCTTCCTCAGAGCCAGACCTCATCCTACACTCCTGTGGGCAGCGTGGCTCCCCTGCCTCCTGCTAGGCCATGCCTTCTGTGGCTCATCACTTACCTGGCCCCAGACGAGCTCTCCTAGCCCGATGAAGATGCACCACATCCACTGGTCCAGCTGCAGTGGGGAACAGCTGAACGGCTTCCCCCCAAACTGCACGATCACTATCTGGAGGTTAAAGAGGAAAAGTGGGCGCAGGGACACAGGCGATCAGGTGCTGTGCTGGGCACCTTCCACCCAATACTGGTGAGGGGAGAGCTCGGCTCTACCTGGATGGCAAAGGTGCCTAGGACGATCGTGCAGAAAATGGGGTTCCGGAAAATGCCGTCGAAGACGTTGCGCTCCCCGTGGATCTTGCGTGCGTTGATCTCATTGAAGAGCTGCATCATGACGAAGGTGTTGAAGATGATGGTGTAGTGCTCCGAGGGTGGGGAGTGCAGGGGCGCGTTCCTCCCACTGTCAATCTGGAACATCTTCTCTCCTGCCAAGCCAGAGGACGGGGTGTGCTGGCGGCAGGAGCCTCCCTGTGGGACACTCACATGCTGGCTGGCGTTTGGGCGGGGGGGGGGGGGAAGGGGGAGGGGGAGGACAGATCTGTGCTGTCAGGTGGCTACTGAGCATGGGAGAAAGACCTTGGGGTACCTCTCTCTCAGATGAACCATGGAAATCTAACGAAGGTGTGCAACCAGGTGACAATACTCATAAAAGGTGGCCCTGGCCGGGAGGTTGGGAGTTCAGGAGGGATACCTGGTGGGAAGCCTGGCTTCTGGCTGTTCTGTAACTGAATGTCACTTACTGAGACCTCTCTAGAGAGCCAGGCTGGCTCCAGGCCCTGCATGCAGCACAATGGAACTGGCCCTGCACCCATTTTTTCAGCCAGGTTGAGTGCCTTCCAGTAGGTTCCCTCACCTCTCTGTGCCTTGCTACCCTCATTAGTAATATGGGGTGATGGCTTACTTCACAGAATAGTTAGAAGACTGACACCCCCCCAAACCAAACCCACTGCTTATGAGTCACTTCCTATCCTTAGTGACCGTTCAGTTTCCAAGGCTGTAAGTCAATGAGAGGAGCCTGCCCACCTTTCTCCTATGAAACAGCTTGTGGATCAGAACCACTAACTCTTTGCTTAGCAGCACACCAAGCTACACACTGTGCCATCTGAGAAGTGCATATGAAATCAGCTGATGTTACGTGATTGGTGCCTCTCCAGGGAATGTCTGCAAGTGGCTTCTCTGAGACTCAGGGTCCTCACAGGGCTAGGGTGCCTGCATACTGCTGTGCATATGGACCATGTGTTCAGTGCTGGGAGCTCCCTATCACTCATGACAAGGCACTGGCTTTGCAATCTGTCAGAGGTGGGCTCGAAGGGCTCTGATCTGCACCCTGGCTTGCTGAGTGACCATAATCAAATGACTCTAATTCACTGGGCTTCATCTTCCCCACGCTGGATCAGAGGTACGGTGGGCCTGGAGTGGTGAGGGCAGGGCAAGTACTCACCCACAAAGAGCAAGGTGAAGATGAGGGTGAGCTGGTAGACAGCATGGCCCAGGATGTTCTTCATCATGGTGCGTGAGATGAGGGGCTTATTGCGGCCGTATGGCTTCCGCAGGAGTAGGGTCTCTGTGGGAGGCTCGGTGGCCAGGGCCAGGGAGGCAAACGTGTCCATGATGAGGTTCACCCAGAGCATCTGCACAGCCTTCAGAGGCGAGTCCTGTGCACAGAGGAGCATGAAGGCTGTCACACGGGAGCCGGCCTATCTGCTGTCATACAAAGGTCTGGCTCTGTCCAGCAAGCTGGAGCCCAGCCCTTCAGCTGACCTGTTCCTTGGTCCTGAGCAGGCATGGATCAGGATCACTGAGGCCATCTCTGTACAATAGTCTGGACTCGGCCTGTCTTCTCTCCCAAGGAGAAAACTTAGTCCTCTGGGCCTGATGGCCATCGGCAGATATAGCCACATCCCTGCCTTATTCTGTCTTCTTCTCTGGCCTCTGTGCATGTAGATGTGGATGGACTTTCCTCTTTGCTGAGGCCAAGCCCCTGTCCTCCTCTACCCCGACCTTACCAGTGAGTCGTGCCTTCCACCCCTTGCCTTTTGATTCCTTTCCTCCAAACCTCTCGATCCTATAAATCAATTCCCATAACTCTGTCCTCTTTCTACTACTAGATTTCTCTTCTACTTTATCATCCTGCCTTACCTTAAGAAATTGTGTATATTTGTGTTAGAAAAAAGAAAGTGTTTTCATGGTAGACAGTGTTGGCAAGCAAGGAAGGACAGATAGAACTCGCTGATGGCCTAAGTTCCCCAAGGTGACTGCTGCCAGCTCTGGAGTGCAGCCGCCTGCACCTTTGGTGGGCTCAGGTGGGGATGGTATAACCCATACTGCCTTATTATACATGATCTCATTAAGGATCTGAACTTCTGAAATGACTTGAACTTGCTCATCCCTTGCCTTACTCACATCCCTGCATGCCCTGTTCAAAGCAGCCTGGCTCTGGCCCCTGTTGTGAATATTGTAGACCCAGAACCGACCCATGAAAAGACAAGGAAAAATGGGGTTGCCTTTATAGTAAAAAAAGTAATTTCTAGATCCATCTTGAAGTACAACACCGTGAGTGACAGGATTATATCCATA